AAAAAAAAAAAAAAAAAAAAAGTAAAAGAAACAAACAAGCAGGCATGGTGGCGCGCGTCTAAGGTCCCAGCTACGCTCAATGCTCTGGTGGGAGGGTCGCTCGAGCACCGCAGGTTGAGGTTGCAGTGAGCCAAGATCGTAACACTGCACTCCAGCCTGGGCGACAGAGCGAGACCTTGTCTCAAAAAAACGAAACAAAACCTACAAAGTTGTTTGAAATGCTTAAAAACTGCAGTTCACACAAAATCTTTGAAAACATGGGATCCTTGGAGGTGTTGTTTTTCCATTTTTTGTTGTTATTTAAAGAATGGGCCGAGAGTATCCTCTGGCTTAGTTTGTACGCAATAAACGGGAAAGGCAAACGGTGGGACATCCTAACCCGCCCGGGGGCCGCGCTGCGCCCGCGCATTCCCACCCGCGTAGCTCCGCGCGGCACCCGCGCCCTCACCGTCTCCCCGCGGATGCCCTGGACGGCCCTCCACTGCGAGGGCACGGACGCCACACCCAGGGTCTCATCCTGCAACGGCCCCGGCCGCCCTGGCCCCGGGCCGCCCGGGGCCCCGCCGGTTGCCAGTGCCGCAGCACCCGCGCTTCCCGCCGGGGTGAGCGGCCAGCGCTGCGCGCGGGTAACCATGGAGACAGCTCCGCCCTCTCGCGCCGGTCCACTCAGGCGTGACCTTCGCCCCTACGCCGCCATTAGCGGAAACCGGGAACCTGAGGCTTGCGGCGCCATGTTTGAATTGGTCGCAGCGCCTTCTGCAAGGCCGGAAAGAAAGAAAATGAATGATTCTTGTTGGCCAGAGAGGGAAGCCTGACCAGTTTTGCATACCGTGTACCCAGAAAAAACAGGGTCAGGGCAAACGCGACTACCCCTGTGCGAGGAAAACTGCGGAAGTGAGGCATTGGTGCCAGATTCAAAGATGGCGCTGATCGGCCAAGCGAAGAGGCGAGGCGAGGGCGGGAGCCTGCGGCCGTGCCAGGCCCGCGAGTTCTGGGCCTGGGCGCGCAGATCTGGCTGAGCAGCTGATGCTTCTAGAAGATCCGAGAAGCGCGCCACTCCAATTGGCTGCCACCTCGAAGCCAAGTGGTCTCCCTTTGATCCTCAGTCTCTGTCTCAGTAGAATGATGAAAAATATCCCTCCGCACATCCTAAATGTGGTTGAAAAGTTGGGAAGCCCAAATGAGGTATTCTACAGAAAAATGCTTATTAAATCTAAATTGAAAGCAAATAGCCAAATTATGAGTGACTACTGTGTGTCAGGAAAAGAGCCCAGAACGTCTCTTATTAAATTCTCACCCAAGGCCGGGCGTGGTGGCTCACGCTTGTAATCCCAGCACTTTGGGAGGCCGAGGCGGGTGGATTACCTGAGGTCAGCAGTTCAAGACCAACCTGGCCAACATGGTGAAACCCCGTCTCTAAAAAAAAATAAAAATAAAAAAGAAATGGCATGATACAGCTGGGTGCAGTGGCTCACGCCTATAATCCGAGCACTTTGGGAGGCCGAGATGAGTAGATCAT